CGCCCGCGTGACGCCGCCGCCGCCGCCTCCGCATTCTGCCCGTTCTCAAGTCTCGATCGCTTTCTGCCCCGGGCATAAACCACTCCTTCGGGCGGGCTGAGAGCCTGCTGGGGTTTGGGCCGCAAACTTCTCCCCTGTGATTTCCTTCTCTAACACCCATCCCACCCGGAGAAATCACCCTTAGGCTTTCGCGTTCAGAACTTCACTTGAACTTTGCCACGTTGCCACCCCTCAAAAAAAACCAAAAAAAAACCACCTCCCCGTCAAGGAGCCGACGCCTACTTGCAGCGACCCTGTAAAACAGAGTAGAACTCCCCTGTGAGTTTCTGAGACGCTGGAATAAAATCTCCCGCAGAGCGGTGCTGGTCTTGAACAGCTGACCCTGACACTCGACCCTGCAAGGCCATCAGGGATCAACTGGCACTACTACTCAACAGAGACGCACTTTCCATTCTCGGCGTGAACAGGCTGCGTATGAATCAATTTTGCTTTTGTGGAGAAAATGACCTTCAATTCTTGAAGATTGTTAAAGGTACATAAGCATTTTGATTGTTCCCAACCACTCTTACGTACCTGGTGGGGTTAATTTTACCTTTTAGTGACCCTATGAGATAGAGTATAACCACTCCATAGGATTCCCAAGGCAGGAAACTGAAACGGACAGCCACATATTTTCACCGGAGCAGCAGCTGGTGAGTTCAGAATACCCATCTTTTGGTTGCAGGCAAACATTTAATCACTGCCCCACAGGCTCCTTACTACTTTTCTATTTTGCTTTTTTTATCTGCTTATTTTATTCCTGTCTCTTTGGCTCCTTACATTATTCTGAATTTGCGGTTGTAAGAGGTAATGCATAAATAGATTAAAAACACAACCAGTTAGTCTATAAGCAGAAAAGTTACCCAGTGTTTAATGTGTGTTAATGAAGCTATGGGCTGAAGAAGTAACAAAGAAGTGACAGTTTCCTGATCTTAAAATCTGTTTCTGGTGAGATGAAATCATAAGCAACTCAGAGAGACCATATAGGACAAAGTAGAGCTGCCCCATAAGCTTTCCAAAACTGATGGGTTCCAATGGCAAGCTTTCTTTAAACCGTTGTATTACTGAGTGATAAATGAGTGCACTCCTGGCGTGGAAGAACAGACCAGGAACTGGATAATCTAGATGTATATATAGCCTCCAATTTGTATCTATGTAACTTAACCACTGTGGACTTTATTTGGCTCTTTGCAAACAATTCATAGGTCCTTTCCAGCTCTCAAATGCTTTAATAAGCTCTTTAGAAGAAGCAGTGTCAAATAAGTGTTGGGAATTATGTAAGATTCTGGAAAAGGATCATTTTCAACTTGTGTCCTAGGGAAGATATTCTGGGAAAGTAGGATTTGTAGGGGAGTTAAGGTTTTCTTTTTTGGTGTGATGGCCTTGAATGGGGTGGGCAGGGGTGGGTGAGAAAACAAACATTAAAATCCAACATCCCCACCACTGCAAAAAAAATTTTAAAAACAAGGCCACTCCTTTGATTCAGTTCCAACTCATGGTGACTCTGTAGGACCAAGTAGAACTGCCCCACAGACTTCCAAGTTTGTAATCTGTATAAAAGACCGCTGCCCTTCTCTCCTGTGAGGGGCTCATAGGTCAGAAGCACCCACCTTTGGGGTTAGCAGTTGAGTGCTGTAACCAGCACCAGGGCTTTGTTATGAATATGATCCAACATAATCCGTCATCATCTGAAAAAAGAACAACGCACATAACAGGAAACATTCCCACAGAGGTTCTGGGGCGCCTCTCTACCATCAAGAAAAATCAGAAGCGGGGAGCATTCTATTGCTTAAAACAAGAAATTACAATTCTCTGGCTTTATAAGGAAAAGGTAGGCTTTCCTTCTAAGTAGGGGGAGGGAAATCAAGCCAGGAGTGCTTTGCTCTTCCCTTCTAAAGTCTTTTCGAGAGACAGAGCAGTTACAGAAGCATCTTCCTTCTTCATGACTTTATGTGTAGTTCAGTTGAAGAAACATAGGATGTTCACAATTTAGAGCCTTATTTTCCTTTCGTTTTATTTTGCTGTTTGTAGTGAAGGGAAATTTTAAAAAAATGTTTTGGGTGTGAAATGTCTTAATATGGCTCTTACTCACTTTTCTAATAACTCCCACAAAATGTTTGGGGGCGATCACACAAAATAAAAGACTTTTTAAAATTTTTATTAATCATTTTGGGGGGGGGGTTCTTATAAATCTTATGACAATCCATCATTCAATTGCATTAAACACACTTGTATAAATGTTGCCATCAACATTTCCAAAACATTTTCTTCCTACTTGAGCCCTTGGTATCAGCTCCTCTTTTTCCCCTCCCTCCCCCACCCTCCGACTCTCATGAATCCTTGACCAATTATATATTATTGTTGTTATTTCGTGTCTTACATAGTCTGTTTTCTCCCTTCACCCACATTAATCTTATTTGTCCCCCTGGGAGATGGGCTATATATCCAAACTTGTTATGGGTTCCCCTTCTCCCCCAATTCCCCTACCCCTGTCCCCACCGTACCCCTACCCACATGATATTGCTATTCCCACTACTGTGCCTGAGGGTTTTATCTGTCCTAAATTCCATGCATCGAGAGCTCTTATCTGTACCAATGTGTGTACTCCAGTCTAGCCAGATGTGTAAAGTATAACTGGGTCATGGTAATGGAGGAGAGGAAGCATTCAGGACCTAGAATGATGTGTATTTCCTCGGTGCTATACAGCACCCTAGTTGAATTGTCCCTTCCTTGTAACCCTTCTGTGGGGGGCAGGGTGTCCAACTGTGTACAGGTGAGCTTTGGTTCTCCATTCCAAGCCCCCTCATTCATATCATTATAATTGTTTATTTTGAACCTTTTGATACGTGATCCCTTTGACACCTCATAATCAGACAAGCTGGTGTGCTTCTTCCATGTGGGCTTATTTGCTTCCCTGCTAGATGGCTGCTTGTTTAACTTCATGCCTTTAAGACCCCATATCTTTTGCTAGCTGGGCACCATCAGCTTTTTTACCACATTTGCTTATGCACTCATTTTGTCTTCAGTGATCATGTCGGGAAGGTATCAATAACAGTGCCAGGTTATTGGAACAAAGAGTTCCTGTGTTTAGGGAGGCCTTGAGCAGAGGCCCAAAGTCCGCCTGCCATATTAATACTTAACATATAAATACATGTATATTGGCTTCTATCCATTTCATTATAAATTAATATCTTTACATATATACATACCTACTTCTTCCTCTATTTCCTTTCAACTTCCTCTGGTCTCGCTATCCTGCTCACCCTCCACTTGGCTCGCAGTAATTCCCTCTGATTCATTGCACTGGATCAAACTTAACCAGGCCTCCTCGCCATCATTTTTAGATCTCTTGTTGTTCCCTCATCTCTGAGTTTGTTGGCCCTCTGCCACCACCCCCTTTGCCCATGTCCCCCCCAAGGACCACCAGTCCCGTTGTTTTCTCTTCAGGATTGTATGTTCTACCTATCTTATATAGATAGACATAAGGTGAAAGAAAAAAACCCAAAAAATGATAGTTTCAGGTCTGTCTGCTGACCCTTGAGTGTTTTCCAGTCAGTCTGATAAGGTGCCAACAAGCCCTCTCCCCAAGTCAGAAGTCTATTTTCAGAATTCCTCAGGAACTTGGTTACTTTGCTCCCCTTCCTCTCCTGTTTCACTCCCTTTGCATTTCACCCCTCTGTGCATGGGGCAGACCAGGTACACTTTCCGCACAGTGTCTCCACTGCTGCCCCGTGTAGCACTATGGGTCAGTGAGGGAACTTTGTGTCTTGTGGTGGGGCCGACCCTATGGTTCTCATTGGGTTGAGCAGGGATGTTGTCCCAGGGGGTTGGTGGGCCATGCTGAGGTCCATACTCTTTCTCTCTTTCTTTCCCTCTTAGTTCACACCCATGTAGTCTAGACAGACTTGCCACTCTCCCCGGCTACATCTTCAGTGCTGTCCTCTGTACTACATTCTTCTGGGGAGGTGATCAACATAGCTCTGCTTGGAATAGAAGACTCTTAACTCAAGGATTAATCAGTGTTACCATTCCCTGCAGGAAGTAAGAGAATTCTTGGGACCATGAAAAGGAAGAAGAGCCACCAGTGGAACATATTCAAAATCCCTGCCTGAAGTGGTGGGGGCAGCATGCAGAGACTAGAGGTCATGGCAAAGAGATCATGAGACAGAGGAGAGGAGCAGCTCGAAACGAAGAGGCAGAGAGGTAGAGCAGCAGGTGGGCTTCCAGGCCCACAGAGTCAGAGGCCAAGGGACCAGAGAGGGGGACGTGGCTGCTGTTTAAGAAGCGGGTTCCTATAAACCAGTAGTTCTCAACCATCCTAATGCAACCCTTTAATACAATTCCTCATGTTATAGTGACCCCCAACCATAAAATTATTTTCGTTGCTATTTCATAACTGTAATTTTGCTAATGTTATGAATCGGGCTACCCCTGTGAAAGGATGGTTTGACCCCCAAAGGGGTCATGACCCACAGGTTGAGAACTGCTGCTATAAACCAAAGACTATCTGATGCTAGCTTGTGATAACTTGTTACCTTCCCTAACGAACCCCCATAATTTTTTCCTTGGGACATAATCCAAATTTCATACAATTCAGTAGTTAAATCATATCAAGACAGGTTGTACATTCATTACCACAATCAATTTTGAGCATTCTTTCTCTTGTACTCTTGTACTCTTTGTTATTAGCTCCCCATTTCTCCCAACCTCCCTGGTATATCCCCATAAACCATTA